AAGGGAACTGTGCTCAGAGCGAAGGAGGACAAGCACAACTGAAAATGTTTGTTAAAGCAAACACGTTATGAAATAGACTGTAACATTAACGTGGATTTTTTTTATTGAGATGAAATTCACATAACAAAAGGAACCGTGTTAAAGCAAACAAGCTAGTGGCATTTAGTACAGTTCACAATGTTGCATAATCACCACCTCTGTCTAGTTTCAGAAGATTTCCATCCCCCCAGTGGAAACCCTGTCCCCATTAGCAATCACTCCCCCAGCCCCTGGCACCTACCACTCGGTTTCCTGTCTCTATGGATTTGCGCTTTCTGGACATTTCCTATAAATGGAATCCTATACTATGTGGCCTTTTGCGTCTGGCTTCTGTCACTCAGCATCCTGTTTTCGAGGTTCATCCACATTGTAACGTGTCAACGCTTCATTCCTTTTTATGGCTGCATCATATTCCATCGTGTGGATAGACCTTTTTGTTTTGTTTATCCTTGCCTCTGTTCATTTACATTTGGGCTGTTTCCATCTTTTGGCCTTGGTAAGCGGTGCTGCTATGAACATTTGTGTGCCCGTATTTGAGGACCTACTTTCCCTTCTTTTGGGTCTAGACCCGGGAGTGGAATTGCTAGGTCATGCGGTAATTTCGTGTTTTAACTTCTTGAGGAATTGCCATTAACGTGGATTTTAAACGTAAAACTTGAAAATATCACAGAAATGTCAGGTTTATGGGGAGTTTGGTTCTGGGCCCTAGGTAAATCCCTCAGTTACTTCCACTTGGGGTTATTTTGCTGCCTGGGTACTTTTCCTGTCATTCCATTTAATCCTCACAGAGACTCGTCAGGGTGGCTATTGTCAGCCTTGATTTTTACGGGCGTGGGGGGATCTGGGACTGAGAGCCTGGGTCCCACAGAAAACAAGTGACCGAGGCAGCATTTGAGCCCAGGTCTGTCTGTAAACCCTGTGTCCTCCCAGACACCAGCTTGTAGGTGGAGCCCAGCGCTGGTGAGGGTGGACCCCTGACCCTTCCCATGGCAGCAGGATACCCCAGCTCAGACCCTGGCGGGATGTCAGGTCTCTGGGCACTGCCCGCAAGAGATCAGGGCTGCTGGTTTGGGGAGTGAGAGAATATTAACAGCAGCTCATCTGGGCCGGGTGGGCTGGGAGGTCAGCCCCTTGGAAGGAGGGTCGTGCAGCCGTTGCCTGCCTTGCTTCCCAGCCCTCTGAACCCCTCCTGACGCAGGCCCTGGAGTGCTGCTGGCTTTCCCCCGTTTCTCCATATTGCTTGCTTGCTTTAAAACTTAAGTCTGGATTTCCCGCGCCCCCGCCCCCCTTTGTCACTCCTCTGCCTCCGAAACCCCAGAAAGCAAGGCATTCTTGTATTGTTGTGCACTTTTAGAAAACCAGGGTGCCATATGTTGTCGGGGCCCTGGGTGCTTCTAGAAGGGTGGACACCCAGGGGATGTCACTGCTTGCTCCATGGGTGCTCCGGTTCTGTGCCCCAAATAAGCTGCAGGTATGACCACAAGTGCCTCTTCTTCCAAAGCCACACCACCTCATGCAACCTGCTGTGCCCTGCACCTTCCTTCTGCTAAAAGGAACGTGGGGGGGGGGGGGGCGGGGAGAGGAAGCAGGATTCACTAAACAAGCAATCGTTTGATGGAACGCTGTGCAGCCATTTTGTATGCTCTTGTGTTTAGAGAATTTTTAAAGACATGAACAAGTCTTCCAAAATACTGTGTGATCCCTATTTGGGGAGAGAAGAGAATTATGTGCATGTAGCGGGGGAATATCTGGAAAGATGGGACTAAATCCTCTAAAATGTTAGTGGGATGGTTGCTGGGGGTGGCGTGAGATAATAGGCGATTTTAACGTATTTGTTTCTGTATTTTCTGTTTCTTGCAATGATCAGTCATTGTTCCGACGGTCAGAAAAGTACCCATATTACTAAGAGAAATGTGTACAAGGGGGCAGTTACCTCTGCGGCTCCCCAGTGGAGGAGAATGCAGGCTCTGTGATGCAGAGGGAGGGGTCCGCAGCCATGATGGTTGGAACACGCTGTGTCCACCAGAGGGCGCCGGTTGCACGCGGCACAGAGCCTGTGGCATCCTTTTGTAATAGATGTCCTCTAGGGGCAGTTGGCAGGTAATGGGGTGTGCAGGAAAGAGTTGGAAGCCACAGGGCCAGCACACGGCCTGGCGGCTTAACATGATATCACTAAAAAATAAGCAAGAGGCTCCCCAAGCGCCCCAGCTCATGGCAGCCCTGACAGACCGCCTGGCCGCAAAGCTACCCGGCTCCAGGTATTTTTAGTAATTGGTCCATCTGGCCCCGCATCTCACGTGTCCGAAAACAGCTTCTGTCGTCTTGCTTCTCCCTCAGATGCTTCTGACGAGCAGAATTCACAGTCATCACTGGAAAACTCGATGAACAGTTCAGAGAAGGTCGAGCGGCAGCCATCTGGAGACGCGGGTCTAGCTGCAGAGACGTCCTCAATCTCTCAGGTACCGCCATCGAGGTGTCACAGGGGCAGCCAGGTCAGCCGGGAGCCCGTTGGGGTGTTGGGGGTACGTTGAAAGGTGTTTTGTAATTTTGCTTTGTTGTTTTCTCATTGGATGATTACAACTGTAGTGTATTCATTTGAGCAGGATTCGTGAGTGTCCTTCTGTGTCCCGCACCCTGGGCTCTGGGGTTACAGTGAAGGGCGAGACATGGGGGCCCTCGGGGTGGGTGTAGGAAGAGGAAGGGTCTTTTTTCCCAGCCTCAACTTTATTACTTTGTTTATTTGCGTCCATAAAAGCGTTGCCTGCTCTCAGTGACCCAAAGTCCACTTCCTTTAGAGCTGGGAAGATAAGTCTTCAGAATCCTCAAGGCTGGATGGAATAGTCCTTGGAAATATTTTGCAGCTGACCGTACTTCCCCCGCTCGGAACCCTTTCTGGGTCACCACTGTTTGTCAGAATCTGGTCTGAATCAAACAGTGCAGAAGCAGGTGGCCCCGTGGATAGGAGCAGATGTCCCCGGTTCGAATCCCAGCTCTGACACTTGGCACGCACTGAGCCGCAGTGTCCCCAGCTGCCACAACGTGATCGCAGGGCTGTCTTGGGGCCAGGGTGCGATGAGATGAGAGAAGGTGGGTAACATGCTTACCGCAGAGCTGGACCCAGGAGATGCCTTGGTGTTGCCTTGGCCACCATGAAGAGTCACTGTCAACCGTCTGAGCTCATCTGACAGGAGCAGGGTCTCAGAGTTGTCAACATGTCAACTAAAAAACTGTTTTCTCTTTGCTGAGTAGCTTCCGGTACCTCGGGGGAAATTGACAGTAAGTAGTAGCAGAAAGAAAGGAGAGGTAGGCTGCAGCGAGATGTGGTCTGCACCTTATGTAGCCTTGAACCAGGCCTTCCTCAGGGGATATGCCTGTCAGACTTTAGCATCTCCATACCTTTGCATCTGCACCTTCCCTTCATTCTATAGAACACTCTCCAAATGCCCAGAGACACAGAGGGAGGGTTGACAGAAGATGTATTTGCAGTGGCAGGAAGTTTGTCGAAAGGGTACTAAGTAAATCTGGGGCCGTGTATAAAGCAGACTCATATGCAGCTATTAGAAAGGATACAGTTGACCCGGGTACAGATAAAGAATGAAGAAATATTCTCGCAATGTGAAATGAGAAAAGCAAGCCACAGAGCCTCAGGCATAGCATGAGGCCATTTGATTAAAAAGAAAAATCAAAGCCTCATGTATAGTTTGTGAAACCAAGGTGTCAGCGGGGGTCTCATGGCCTCTTGAACTCAGTGGAGGAAAGGTCAGCTTGAAAATTAGATCCACACCCTTGGGGGCATCTAGTGCTTCCCCTCTGACATCTGGAAAAGTCCAGGGGTCTTCCATTCGAACTCCACTCGCACTCCAGGGGTCCCAGACCTGAAATTGGGCCCCTTCCACTGCTTTCACTCTCACAGAGAGGCCCATCCTCACCTACAGAGCTGCTAGGTTTGCGAGCAAGACGGATGGTGCCTTGCAGTAAAGCAAACAACTTGACATTGAAGTCCAGCCATTCTTGCTTGTCTGTCCGGCCGAGCCCACGTGTCTCTTCTCTCTTTCATTTCTCCTCCCCCACTCTCTGCCTTCTGCTCCCTCTGTTCTTTCCAGGTTCCACTCTCAAGCTCACACATTGCCCCCACCCCCTCACCCCCAATCCAAGTGGTCTGCAGAACCACAGGACCTTCTGAACAGGACCCACCTTCCTCTGAAGCCACCATGCAGCCCACTGGCTCCTGTTATGTCCGGGCTGAACTTTTATCGCTTTCACAATAAGAAAAGGAGAGAGGAAAGACAGGGGCCTCCTCTTGTCTCCGTGTCATACCTGCTGTCAGGGTCGGCTACAAAAAACACACACACATCCTACATCAAGGCCCCAGGGCCTCTATTAAACATTAATTAGGCACCCACTGTGTACCAGGCACTGTGCCAGATATAGAGACCCAGGGTGAACCACCAGACGAGGCCCCTCTCTGCCCTCATGGGGCTCTCGATGGGGTCAGGGAGGCAGACACAGTGGATTCCAGAGCCACAGTGTGTGTGCTCTGGGCGACCCGGCACAGAGTGATGCAAAGAAGCCTGACGGGAGTGGGGCGTTCTTCTAGGATGGTGGAGGCAGAGAGGTGTGGGCTGGGAATGGGACTTTGAAGGACAAGGGATTAGGGTTGGGAGGGCAGCCTTTCTAGGCAGAGGGAACCAAAGGTGTACAGGCGCGAGCCTGAGGGACAGAGGGGAGGCCAGGGTGGCTGGAGCCTAGCTGGCAAGACAAGGCGCGAAGGGACAATGGGCTGGGTCCCCAGGCCTTCCCAGCCTGGTAAGGAGTTGGGAGTTTGTTCTGAAGTCGGTGGGAAAGCATCAGTGGGTTTTAGATTCTATGTATGATTTCTATTCGGAGAAGATCACCTGGCCTATGTTGAAGGCTGTGTAGGGAGGCTGCAGAGCAGGCTGCTGTGTCACCCGGGCCAGAGGTGGTGGCAGCTGAGGTGCAGAGAGAGAGGAGGGTGGGCTGGAGGGTCTTTGGAGATGGAGTTGAAGGGACTTGCTGTTAGGCTCGGCGTGGGAGCGTGGAGACAAAGTGAGGACTTGTGGGAACCGTCCACCTTTATTCCAGGCAGATGGAGGCACCCCTGATAGATGTGGGGGGCACCGGTTGGGATGCGTGAAGTCAGGAATGGGTCTTGGGTGACACGCCAGGCTGGCGATTCCTGAAATGATGGAGTGGGACAGTCAAGGCATGGGTGGGTGGGCGAGTGTTGGACCTTTCTTTGAGTCAAGGGACTTTTTGGGAATTTGGTGACAACTACAGACCCTGTCCCCAGAATAACATACGTGTGCACATTGAACGACTGACTGCCAAGTGTTCGCCCCAGGTCAGCCACCTGTGCTGGGCCCTGGAGGAGCAGTTGTCAGCATGGCAAGGTTGGTCTAGGCCTTTGAACTTGGAGACGTAAACTGGAAACTTGTGTATAAATAATTACCCTGGCAGTTAATTACAGATTGGAAGACAGATAATGGGACACCCCTCCGGGCTGGGCAGGGTGAAGGGGAGGGGTGCTTAGAGGCACAGTGGGAAGCCAGTGTGACACGGGGCTTGGGGAATAGAGGAAGAGTTTGGGGTTGAGGTTCCCTGCGGGTTCGTGAACCCCCTAAAGTCCACGCTTGGCCGGCTGCCAGGGTCCTGCCCTCAGTTCCATCCTGGGCTGCCCTTGAACTTCACGGCATGTTGACCTGCCGTTCTCTTTTCTCCCTCCTCCCCCAAGGACTTGGAAGGAGGGCCGCCCTCTAAAAAGATGAAACTGGAGGCTTCGCAACAAAACTCCGAAGAGATGTAGACGCCAGGTCCAGCCTCCGGTCCACATTTCACGGGAGATCCATCAGCAGGCTTAATTCAACAACTTCCCCCGAGCGAGCCCTCGGGTTAGAACTACTAACTTTCCAAGTTTACCAAGTGCAAATCCAAGAAAACCTAGAATGGCGTGACTTCTCAGACACTGAAGAACTTTCTGCTGTGAAGCAAAACACTCGAATCTTGAAGTGACTGTCCTTGTGGAGGCGGGTCGACAGCTCAGGAGTGTCTGCACACTGTCTCTGAAGCCAAGATTACATTTGCGTTGCTGCTGTATTGTTTTTTCCCCCCGACTTCTCTATTTAACGATATAAGCTATTTGAGGGTGGTACCCATCAGGAATTTGCTTTTCGTCGGGGATTTTCACTGTTCCACCGATTCCTCCTGCTTTCTTTTTTTGTGCCTTGTGCCCTTGAGGTGACCTCTGGCATGTTTTCCTGGTTGTTTTGCATCTCCCTTTGCAAAGTGTCCTCTCGGCTTTATTGAGGCGGCCATTGCCCCGGCCCTCACATCTCGCTCCTCCCTGCCCCAGGATTTCAGTGGGAACAGAGCAGGCAGGGAGGAAAAGAGCCAGAGGCTGCAGAAGAGCAGAACCTCCTCGGATGCCTGATTTTCAGGTGTGGGGCGCTTGGGAACTCCCTGGGCCTTTGCTGGGGGGTGCAGCACCAGCCTCTAGGGTCCGAGGAGTCTCAGATGTCAGGGCACTGTCCCTAAGCGCTGGCCACTCAATATGCTCTCACTTCCTCGGGGCATCTGAGCCTGGTGTTTCCAAGCAGCCCAGACGGACATACAGAGCCCTTAGATTGTCCTGGCATTTCCCCCCTTTGCTCCCCACCAAATGGTTTTCTCCCACTCCTCCGAAGATGAAATGGCTTCTGTGGCTGACTGCAGGATTGTCTCCTTAAGACGGTAGAACGGCTGAGGAGGCTGGGAGCAGAAGGCAGGAACAGCTGGTGCTGAACTGTCATAGGACCGGACGTTGTTTGGATTTCAAATCCACAGTAACCTGTTGCCGTCTGCCTCCCCAGGCCCCCCGGCCCCACCCCCGGGGGACACAGGATTGCAGTTCTGGGAAAATCCACTGGCTTCTGCAGAATGTTCCTGATGCGCTGAGCCAATTGCTGGATCCCATCTCATTGCCGGGATGCAACACTGTGGGGCCCCACCAGGGAGCGGCTTTTTGATGATTGGGCCTCAAAGGCCAGAAAGGAGGTACTAAGGAGTTGGAAACCTCTGCACTCCTCCAGGAAGGGGTGATCGAATCCCGCTTCCACCCCCGCCTGCCTGGGGCAACTTCCTCTCACCAAAATGGAGATGCCCCCTTGGACCAACTGCCTACTTGTTTGGTTCTGAGGCCTGGTTGCTTTTAGTTCCTAAATGGACTCCTCAGACCGTAACCCGTTTCCCGAGCTTTCTTTACTGCACTGGAGTTCCAGCTCCCTTTGAGTTGTGTGGGGTGGGGTGGGGAGGGGTTGTGGGTTTCGTTGGTTGTTTTGGGGGATTTGTTTTGTTTTGTTTGCTGGTTTTTGCTAATTGGTGCATATTCAGGTACCACCTCTGACATGTGGGTCTTTCTCCTGACCACCATAGGAAGTGTCTGCCAGGTTCAATTTCCTAAGAGTTTCTGAGGGTGAGGCTCTTGCTTTTTTTTTTTTTTTAAGCGAGCCAATCTAGTTCCTGCACTTCAAGAAGAATCAAAATGTTCCTGAATTTCAGATACCTCATGCAAAAATGTCTCCTGAAATAAGGGAAAAACAAACAAACAAACTTTGGAAATCTTAATGTTGAAGTTAGCCACGCCGAAAGGTTTCTGTCTTAAAAACAAAACAAAACAAAATCCTATCAATTTTGCCCCTCAGGCAGGCAGGCAGGCAGTTCTTCAGGGAACTGGGCTCTGCATTACCTCTCAGCAAATCTCAAGGCGGCTTTACCTCCAGCTCCTATAGAGTTAATGTTTTCCTTTGCAGCAAAACTCCCATTTTGACGAAAGATGAATTTGGATGTTTATTTCCTGCTCTTTTTGGGAAATGAGAGGTGACAACCAAGACAGTTGAAGGAGAATCTCACACCCCCCCCCACCCCCACCCCCCCACACACGCATTCACGGAAACAGCAAGTCGGCCAGGGTCCCCTGCACCCCTTCTGTTTGCAGTGGCCTCTCTGGACAGGCAAGGGGAGTCTACACGGTTGAGGATGAAGACACCATGCACCACACCGAGGCTGTCATTAGTTTTTCTCTGAAGTGCCTGAAGGTAGGAATGGGCTGGTGGTCGGGACGACTGGGCCCCCCCGCCCCGCCACGGCCACGCCAGGCAAAGCTGGCCAGGAAGGCCTTCCACGCCGAACAATGAGACTGCAAAAATCCAGATGTGCTTCCTTCCCACCCACCCTGCACCCCTTGCCCTCTCCCCGCCTCCCCCCCCCACAGAATCTAAGACCTTCCAGCTGGCCGAGCCAGGGCGGGGGTCCTAAGCGAATGCCTTCCGCGGACACCGGGCCCCATGGCCTAAAGGGCTCCCAGGGCAAACTAATTCCCCGAAAAACTTGAAGTTGGGGAAACTGCGGCTACACATTCCAAAAGTGCTGGCACTTAACACCCATAACCTGGAAGGCAGTTGACCGACTCATAGGGTGGTGACCTCCCATGACAAACGACGTCACGGTTTAGAATGCTCATTACCGCCAAGGACCTGGTTAGAGGTATAAAGACCTTTTTTCACGTTATCTAATTTTTTTTTTTCCTCTTAAATTTTTTTTTTTGGTGTGTTGTACAGCAGTATAATTTTTCACTTATTTATTCCATCAGTAGATATGGTTTGTACAATGTACAATGGTTCCATTTCAGAAAATAAAAAAAATTCAAATCATGAGCACCCTGTGATTTTATAGCATTATAATAAAGAGGAAAATGCGATAGATGGTGAGAATGTCCCTCCCCGGCTCCTAAGGCCTCCTGCACAGCTGTGTGGCCCTGACTTTGCACAGGACACCGTAAGGCCCTTGCATGCAGGGACTGGCACCTCCCACAGTCATGCTAAATGCCATCATTAAGCATCAGTGGGTGGGTGGGTGAGGCAACAAGCAGGAGTGTCTCTTGCCTGAGTCAGGTAGCCAATCAGAGCCACACCTGGCCTCCAAAACTGGGTCCTGACCGAGGACACCAGTTTGTGCCATATCCGTGACTTTGGGAGGCTGTGGTTTATAGCGGGGACTCTTGAGAGGTCAGCCCACATCACAGGTGAATTGTAGCTTTGTCCTGACCTGTAGCAACTCGCCATCTGGTGACTTGTGGTCAGGCCAGGGCCAGAACCGGCCCAGAGCCCTTTCCCCTCCCAGCCGCTCAGGCACTTCTCTCCCTCAGCTCAGACTCCCTCCCTGAGTTGACTTTTTTTTCCCTGTCCCATCTCACTTCCTCTTCTTCCACCTGAAACCCACCCCTGGAGGAGCATGGAACAGGGAAGGGGTGGGAATATTGTTTTAGCGAGGCCTGCGCCAAGGCTCACCCGGCTGACCCACCTGGAGGCAAATGTTCTTCTTGTTTTTCTGCCTCTCCTCCCCACCCCGTTCCTTTGTAACGGTTCCGGTGTTTTTACCAGGACTGGTTGCTCAGTGAAATAAACTCCTGATATGGAAAGTTCAGCTTGACAGAACACAGATCACAGGGGCCTTGTTTGCTTTAAAAAAACAAAACAAAAAGCTTTAGCTGGCACTTGTTTGCTGTCCCCTTTTCTGTCCTCCATGTGTGTCTGTTCCCTGGGTCTCGGTCCTGGATGAAGTTCCCTTCCTTCCAGACGCGTCCCTATGGACCTCCCCGCCTCTCTCTGCCACTCTTGTCTCCACTCCCCCTGAGTCTCTGTCTCTCGGTCGTTCTGTTTTACATTCTCTGTGTCTCTTGGCTTCGCCGCTTCTCTCAGCTCCCTGTGTCTGTGGAGCTGACGTCCTCTCATCTCCATCGAGGAGCGGTTGTGCACAAGGCTTCACAGCCATTCCTTGAGCACCATCTGTGTGCTGGGCCCTGGGCAACCATGACTCAAACTTGACCCTTTCCTTCTGGGCAGAGATGTGAGCCAGGGCACGGGGGTGGCCGACAGTTTGGAATTAGGGGAGAGGTGCCTTTTGATGGTGGAGTCCGAGGCTCCTAGGATAGAGGAAGCCCAGATAAGAAGCTCGTTTTTTTTCCTTGATGATAAGGAGTGGCTTCAGGTTTCCGAGCGAGGGCTCTGCTGGCCTGGGGACGGGGTTGCCAATGAGTGGCTTGGATTGCAAAAGGCCAGACTGGAGGTGGCGCAGGACAGCTAGGGAACTGGGACAGTAGGCCAAGGAGGAGGCTGGGAGGTAGCTGGAGGGCCTGTTTGCCCCCCAGGTATCGTGAGGCAATGGGTACTACAGATAGGCGAGGTGGGGACAGCCGGGCTGGGGGAGCAGACACAGAAAGCTCTGGCCCGCGTCTGAGTCTGAACCAAGTCACAAGTGTCATGGAAGTCAGTGGTCTGCCTGAGGAGAGACTGCAACCCTTAAAGGCCAAGTCTACCCACCACACCCCTGGCAGAGGGATGCATATTTTCCTTCAGAGGCTGATAGGCACTGGCTGCCTTTGCCAATTGCATTCCCTTCTTCTTCCAGTAGGTGTCTCTCGCCTACTCTCACTCAGTCCCAAGGGTGGCCATGGAGCCCAGGTCCCTCCCTTTGGTGACAGCAATTAGTTCAGGGGTGATCAAGTGACCTAGTGGCCCAATGAGAGTCAGCCCTGGGATTTTTGCAGGAACTGCTCGGAAAGCATTTTGCTAGAGTGTTTGCTGCAATTGTGAAACGGGGCTGCTGGAGCCACCTTTGCTCTGAGGTGGAGAGAAGCCTGCCTGAGAATGAAGCCAACACAGGCGAGTTGAAAGGTGGTGAGTGTGAGCTTCCTGAGAGCAGCGTTTGAGCACTCAGGCCCTGCTGGCCCCGAACCCAGCCCTCCTGAACTTTTCAACTTTGTGAGTCAATAAATGCCCTTGATAACTTAGGCTGATTTTCACTGGGCCTTTCCCACGTGAGCTCCCAGCTCTCTATCCAGGGGCTTGGGGTATCTCCTGGACAAATCCAGGAGTGGGGGGTTGCTAATATATTAGCTCTGACTCCTAACTGAGGGTGTCTCTCTCCCCCTCCAAACTGTTCCCCTTTCAATGCTCCCATGTGACAAGGACTTGGAAATTTCACAGCTGACAACAAGGAAGTAAACAGGATAACATGGACCCATTTTGGACTTCTGAGGCAGCCTCTTCTATAATCCTCAGAGCTCCAGCACTTTGCAGCTGTGTGATCTCAAGTAAGTAGCTTAACCTCTCTGGGCCTGTTTCCTCATTTGGGAAATGGGGAGAATAATAGTACCTACTTGGGCTCTTGTGAGGATTAAATGAATTAACACATATAATGTGTTTGGGATGAGCCCTGGCATATAGTCAATCTCAATAAATGGTAGCTGTTATTGTTATTAAAATTATAATTATCATCCTCAAGCATGTCTAGACTCCAGGAGTCCAGCTTTTAGAAAATGAGGCATAGGGAAAGGCAACGATTACTCACCCTCAGCTTCTCTGGGCTAGTCCTCTGAGTTTCACCTTGCTCTCTGAAGATTCCCGTCTTCCCCAGATGATTGATACGAGTTAGCCAGCCAGCGGGTCCCAGAGATCCGAGCCCGAGCCACGCCGTGGGGGATGAGTAAGAGCCGACCAGGAAACAGGCAAGAGGGGAAGCATTTCTGGCTGAGGGAAGGGCGTGAGCAAGGGCTGGCGCTTGGAGGACACATCCTCGCCCCAGGTGCTGGCCACCCAGGAAAGCAGGCCCGAGCAGGGAGCTGCAAGCCCTGGGTCTCAGAGGAACAGCCCACTGGGGACACATTTTGTCCAGTCTCCTTCCTTCCCATTGTTCTACCACAGGCTCTTGGAAAGGCTTCTGGGAGGCAAGGATCAGGATGTGGTAACGGGTCCTGTCTCCCTCTGGGATACCCCTGGGACACTGGTACCCATGGCTCTCCTTGGTGACTTGGGGTCAGTGTCTTTCTTCAGACTTTGGCAGAAATAACACCTGCTTTGCATCAAAGAATCTCAAGAGGCTCTTAACTCCTACTCGTTTCTCCTTCAGGGATCCCTCCGTTATGAGCCCCCTTGACCTCCTTGCAACCCTAAATGGTGGTTTAGAGTAGGGACCTGCCTCCCCATTGTACGGATAGGAAAACCGAGGCAGGGAAGTGAATGAACAGGGTCCTGCAGGCACTCAGTGAAGGAGGCTTTGGAACCCAGCCTGTCTTCCACTACAGCAGGGGTCAGCAAATCCGGCTGCCACTTGTCTCTGTAAATAAAGTATTATTGGGAACACAGCCACGCTCACTCATTTACTCATTTATTGTGCTGGGCTGCTTTCGAGATACAACAGCAGAGTTGAGTAGTTGCTACAGACACTTGTGTGGCTTGTGAAGTTGAAAATATGTATCATTTGGCCCTCTACAGAAAAAGCTGGCCAGCCCTTATACTCGATCACACTTTCCTGTTGAAACACTGTGTAGTTGAAAAAATAATAATAATCACCTACTATGTGCCCAGGCACCATGCAAGACTTTTCTGAGTGTGTTATCCACATGGAAAGGTGTAGCTCAGTGAGTTCTCATCCACTGAATACAGCTGCCTAACCAGCACTGGGATCAAGAAACAGCAAATTAGCCCCCAGACATCCCCCTCCTATGCCTTCCAGTCACTGCCCTCGACTTCTCTTCGCACAGGTGAATTTTGCCAGTTTTTGGACTTTATATTCATGGACTCATACGGTATGTGTGCTCTTTTGTGTCTGGTTCCTTTCATTCAATGTGACGTTGGTGACATTCATCGATTCTGTTTCATGCCATTGGAGGCCATTCATTGTCATTGCTGGAGAATCTTCCACGGGGTGAGGACATGACAGCATCCATACTTAACCCATCCTCCACTGCTGGACGTCGGGTCCGCTTCCAGTTTCCATGGAGTATTATGAATATGCAAGATATTAGACCTCTACCACCTCATTTCAACCTCGCTTCAACCCTGAGAGGGGGTACCAATTTGTAGCCCCATTTTATTTATTTGTTTATTTTATTTTAGTTTTTTTTTTTTTTTTTTTTACTGGGGAATTGGGGAAGGGGAACATTGTGCTTTTCCAGGACCCATCAGCTCCAAGTAAAGTTGTTGTCCTTCAATCTAGTTGTGGGGGCGAGGCCGGGGTGGGCATAGTTCATCATTCCCATGCGGGAGTCAAACCGGCAACCTTGTTGTTAGGAGCACGTGCTCTCACCAACTGAGCCATCCAGCCACGCGTTGGCAGCTCAGCGGCAGCTCAGCTCAGGCGCAGCTCACTGGCCCATGTGGGAATCGAACTGGCAAGCCTATTGCTCAGAGCTCATGCTCTAACCAACTGAGCCACCTGGCTGGCCCTGTAGCCCCATTTTAAAATGTGAAGATTGAAGTTCAGAGACAACAGTGGTCGCAAGGTGACACGGCAGGAAGGGGAGGTCCTTGGTGCACATGTGCTTGCTGATCTGGCTCTCTGGCTTCCTTGTTAGAGTCTGGCTGGAAATCCCACCGTGGTCACAGGCTGTATGATCCCATTTATAGGACGTTTCTGGAAAAAGCAAAGCTATGGAGACAGAAGGTGGCGCCTGGGTTGTCTGGGCTTGGAGCAAGGATTGGCTGCATAGACACGGGAGGAAATGATTGTGAATTGTACACTTAAAGTGGGTGAACGCCATGGGATGTAAATTATACTTCAATTAAGCTAAAAAAAAAAAATCCCGAATCCACATGCCTGCATTTCTTCACCACCAGCCCCTCTCCCCCATGCCTCAATTTCCCTTAGAAGGCTGTTCAGACACGAAAGTCTTCCGGCTCTCGCCATGATTAGATGCTC